TATCTCAGGCCACATAAGGATATCCCTACTACGTTACCTAGATGGTCGTGGACACTCCACCAACAATGCAAAAACTATTTGAGGAGTATTTCACTCCCACCTATCACTCCTCAGGCATTCACCTTGAGCATGCTACCATATATTTGCCAGCGACATGGGCCATGTGGTTGGAGTGAAATGCTAGGGTTAATCTCTACCGCAAGAATTTTGAGACCACAAACGTATGGAGTTCAAGTGTTGGATGCGAGAGGACATTGTGCTCAACTGGCTGTCAGGCTTTGCTCCACGCCGATAAGTATATCACAATCCCCCTCTCATAGGTGGGTATCATCAAACTTAACTTTGGTAAATATCCACTCATTAATCTTGGCCATGCTGAGGACTGGGGACCTTTTCTACTCCCAATCGGAACAGTGAACTCTACCATGGCTGAAGCTATCTCCCTATATAAAGGTATCATATTGTTTGAGAATGGCTGGAGTAACTGTCAATTAGTGGAAGGGGACTCACATAGCATCATGCCCTGGGAGTTCAAGGTTTCTCTCTCCCTAGAATAGAACCACATCTTCAACCAAATTTTTTTTTTTTTAATCTTCAACCAAATTGTTGTGATTATAAGCTATTTACATGTCAATTTTAAGCACGTCTAGACGGCCGAAAATGCCACAGCAGATGACTTAGCTCAAGAAGGGGCAGCCGCCAAATATTTTGTATTAAACATAACATATCTTGGATTTAGATCCTGAGCATTTTTGTTTCTATTTGTACAATTTGTCCTCACTTTTGTATGGGGGACACATATCATGTTGTATCTTGTTACTGAACAATAGTCTATCACTTTAAGAAAAATCCCAAAATTAACATGACTTTTCCAATATTATTGACTACAATTTCTTTTTATGACTTTAAGCCACCACAAAATATGCTGCTATCCCTGAGATCACCGTCACCCCGGTTACACCTGACCGCTCCTATGCCGGTGGACCACTCCAGCTCCCCCATAATCCACACCTTGCCCCACCTCCCATCAGCCTGACATGTGTCTGGCATCCTCATCTCTAGGGAACCTCCCCACTCGTGGCACCTCCACAGGAATCCACCGTCCCTTACATTTTTCAAATCTCCCACGCTCTCCCGTTCTACATTGCTCACATGCCCAATGCTCCCTATGGGCTGCCACGTGGCCTCCTCAGTACATCCCATCATTACATCCCTGACCCTCCAAACCCCCCCACAAACCCCCACTCGGCACTCGTGGTCAGTCCTGCTCCCTCTCCCCACTTCGGTGGCCTTTGTTAGGACGCCAACTCCCACCGCCGTACACGTGGCCCCTCTGAGTTTCGAAAGGTCTTTTCTTCCCCCCATCACCATTGTCCGCTCTCTTCCAACTCTTTCAATTCCACCGTCTGCTCCCTCCCCCCACTAGGCATTTCTTCTTATCTTATTCTCTTCTCCACCGGCCTCTCCCCATTTCTCACCTTGCTCCCCTTCTTACTCTCAGTCACCTCCCTTAGTGGTCGTCTTAGTATTAACCCTAGAACCTCAAGGTGAGCCCCTCTCATCCCCTTCCTCAACCTCCTCTAATCCAACAACCCTTCAGCTTCTCTCCCCTTGGACTACCTTCAGCGAGACCCAAACATTAAGTCCGGCATACTAGAAAGCTCCACTATCGGTGATCCACCTCCTGCACAACTCTGTCAGTCAGCATGCAACCTCTCTCCAATGAACCTTACGCTCCCTTCGACCTCCAGAGAAGCTCCGCCATCTCCTACCTCAGCCCCCTTCTCTTGTCCCCCTTCAGTTGCTTTGGCCATGGATGTCTCCACTGACCTCTCTGTGGTGGACACCTCTTCCTTGTAACTTGTCCTCCCATCACCTTGGTATGCCTCTCTTTCCCCCTAACCCCCACCAATTTCTATCCTCCAGACCACAAGACCCTCACCTTTTTCGGCTTCCCAGCCTACCTCATCCCTACCCTCCTTTTCATCCACCTCCTCCACCTTTCCTTGGCGGAAACCACATCCATCTCGTAGCTCCTCCTCCCATCCTTGCTACCCTATCCCCTTCCCCTTTCCCCACCTCACCTCCCCTTTCCCCATTCCCCCCTGCCCCTTCCCCTTTCGGCTTACCCATCTCCCCAAAGAGCTGGTTGAAGTATCTACTCCTTATTCTAAGCCTGCAGCCTATGCCACCCCACTCCACCCTGACTTCTTCAATCCACCCCCCTCTAGTCCCCCATCCCTTTACCCCCCAGTCGTTCTTGACCTCATTCCCCCTCTCCCCTCTCTTCCCCCTTCTCTCTCTTGCAACCTCGGAAGCTACTCCCCAGACCCCCCGGCCACCCCCTTCGGTCTGACCTCCATCCCTGTTCCTAAGGGACGCTCTCCCCCCCTCCTCTTGTTTGCTACGACTCACCCACACACACAACCAGCACTCACTCGACACCTTCGACCTCGGTGGACTCTACATTCATGAATAGCATAGACAAGGCACAAGGCAACCTACACCAAAGGAGGCCATTCGTGTTTTTGTCACTGTGGATGCAGAGACCAAGTTCAAAGTGGGAACTTTCTAACCTTGGATGCAACATTAACTATGACCAAGCGAATCCCCACTCTTCTCCTAACCCCTCTGCTACCCAGCTCCACCGACGCCCTTCGAGAAGGGTGCCTCCTTCTATCCCTCCGTCCACATGACCTAGAACATTTTGAGACTTGGACATGGAGTCAAGCACAGGATTGTGCTACATTTTTGCAAGAAACCTTCACCATCCCTTCTGACCCTTTTCGAGACTGAGCTCCCTTGTCCTCTCCTCTCGTTAGTCCAAAAGGTTGGGCTGCCAACCTTGTCAATGGGTGTCCCTTGAGGCTAGGTGGGCCTAGGGTGGAATCTAGGTTATATGGGACCCTTCTACCCATGCCCTTATCCTCTCCCAAACAAGAGCTGTCCCCATCTCTGTCGTCCTCTCCAGAGTCCCTGATGGTCTACACTAAAAATTCACAACAGCGTATAACCCCAATTTGAAGGCCCTCTGAGACAAATTCTGGGAGCAACTCAACTCCATAGCCTTGGTATCATCCCCCCTCTGGTGCATCGGTGGTGACTTCAACGTCACACAGTGGTCCTTTGAGCACAATACCAATCCTAGCAATTGTCAAGCCATATTGGCCTTTCCAAACTTTGCGTCAAGGTATCATCCCATTAATATCCCACTCCAAGGAACCCAGTTCAATTCGATCATCGATCATTCGATAGATACCCGCTATCCCATGAATGGGACTCTTTCCTTCTTGGACCCCACTCGGTGGCCCTCCTCAAACCTACTCCTAACCATTGTCCTATACTTCTGAATACTAAACCCCCTTCCCTCCGAGGGGCCACCTCTTAGATTTGAAATTTCCTGGTTCGAGGAACCCACCTTTGAATCTCGTTTTCACTCTTGGTGGCTTCCACCACATCCTAGGTCCATGGATGGGCAGGCTTCTGCCTCCAGAGAACAATTCAACTACTTAAGTCCCTTCTCAAAAACTGGGCTTGCCATCTTCCAGGGAATTTCATAGAGCAGAAAGAAGCCCTTCTTGAGTCAGTCTGCTCCCAGGTTCCTTGGAAGAAACTTGCCCCCTCAACCCCACTGAAACCTCCCTCATGGGACAAGCCAAGTTCGACTACCAGACTACTCTTTGCAAGGGAGAGATCTTCTGGTACAAGTGCTCTAGAGTCAAATGGCTAAAGTTTGGGGATGCTAACACGGCTTTCTTTCACAAGATTGCCAACGTCCATAGGCAGGACAAGTACATCTCCCAATTCAAAGTCGGCGACCAGCTATTTGACCAACCTTGACAGGTCCTTCTCCCTTTTTGTCAGCCTTACCAACTCCATGGTGGCCGAAGCCTTAGCCCTTCTGGTGGAACTTCACTATTTTAACCCCTCTTGGGGGGCAACTGGCAGTTGAGGGGGATTCCAAGAACGCCATAGCTTGGGCATCTAGATCTCCCCCCTGACCATGAAGATTGGAGCACATCTTTGACGAGATTTTCCACTTTGTAGGGCTACGCATGTGGTTTGGCAGAAAACCTGGAGGGAGGCCAATGCGCGGCAGACACCCTCACTAAGGCACCTTACAACAGAACACGCAGGAGACCTTCAAGCATCTTTTTGAGTCCTAGATAGAACTTTTTGTATTACAATACACACCTGTGCAAGCATGTATCGCATTTTTTGGACCCAATAGGGTTTTCAACATGCGAACACCCAAGTTGTGGGTGTTCCATTATTTTTACATTTTCCTTACCATTACAAAAGTTAAAACTTAAAAACAAAAAAATATGCTGCACTTGGAGGACACAAAGAATAAAGAAAAAAAATACTAAATGACTCTAGAAATGAAAAACCATTTTTACAAAAATGAAGTAACAGGATGTTCCATGATGTAAACAAGCACATGGAAATCATAAATAAATATAGTTCCTACTAATGACTCAATGATCCAAAATCCGGAATATACATAATAGACAAACACAATGGCACAAACATTTCAAAATCAACAATGGATCCAAACGTTCACTGGACATGGGCTGATCCAATTCCAAACCAAATCAGCGCAGATCGAAGATGGAACACAATGCAAATTCCTTGCCTATTTCAAAAGATTTCTTTTGTTTCTCCCATTATATATACTAACAACAAAAGAGTTCAAATGCATGACAGCATAGTCTTTTCTTTTTCTTGTTTTCCTTTTTTTTGATAAGTATGGCAACATTGGTCTGTAAAGTCAACTATGAAATATGGGTACCTACTACGAAATTGCAAGAATTTAGTGTCTCCCGAGGAGAATAAAAGTGGTACTTTTGCCCTCTCTTATAAGAAAGAGAATAAATATTAAATATTCACAAGGACACATTAGAGGAATGGAGTTCCAAAGAAAATAATACATGATTATTTATGCAGCCAATAAACCTATTTCTAAAATAAATCTAATTGTAACACTTTAAATTGCTTACCAAATCCTGCAAAGAAAGCCCAGTTTGTTTCAAAGAAATTAAGCCTTTTGTCTAAGCCCTGTACAGAAAGACTCCACTTGTACCTATCCTGTAAATTCAATTAAATTGTTCTGCATCCCAAGATAATTGAAGCTAAAGCAAGAACAAAAGTGTCGCCAACACGTACTCAAAACAGTAGTAGGCATACATCCAGGAAAGGAGGAGGAAATTCATTAATTTTCCAGCATAAGGGATGAACCCAAGAGCTGTAACCTGCAGTATCAATCTCCATGATAATTACAACAGGTACCATGATAGTTACAACAGATACAATGGTACTCAAAATATAACAGTTTCCATTATTTTTAACTAACGCCTATTGCAATTATTCAATACCAGGCAACAAAAAAAATGTAAACCTTACCTCAATGTAAAAAATGTTCAGCATAAGAAATGAATAGACTTGCTCTCCAAATCCATATACAATCCTGTAAAAATAGTAAAGCAATTGATGGCACAAACCTAATGCAATCTATCTTAAGAAGAAGATAATGTTAATGAAACGAATAACAAATGATGAATTGTCTGGACAGTAGTAAAACCACTTTGTAAGCCAAAAACTCACCCTTCAAATCCATCTGGCCTGCCAACATGATTCACTGCATTGGACAAATCATTTTGCCCTGATGGTTGTGCCGTTTTATGCCCAACACCTCCAATAACATGAAACGCACTCTGGGCAATGTCATTATACCTGAACTAAGGACAATATTTTCATATCTAGATGATCTGACCAGCAGGAAATAGAAGTAATAATAACGGAATGTGGAAAAAATTGCAATGCAGAAATAGTATAACTTCAAATTTTTTGATAACTTTCCCCATCAATGTCAGCAAGTAAATGACAAGTAATATGAGAGAACTAGTTCCATTTATAAAGAATTGTTTTAAAAAAGACATAACGTTGTTTCCACGGTACAAAGGTAAAAAGGGAGATAGCAATACCAGCCAATGCTAATTATATAGCTTGAAATGTACAAGGGATAAAACCAGAACACCTATCGAGCAAACAAAAGATGAGAAAATGTTAGGGGAAATATTGCAACAGGTAAACTCCTCAAAAGAATCCAGCAGTAGCCATTGAAGCATGCCCAGGGAAATGCTTAAAACAAAATGAGTGTGTTCTACATGCTCCATAAATTAATAAAAGAACTACTCCTATCAAAACAAGACACTGCAACTACAATGCTACAATCCAGAAATATCCAAAGCCGAAGCAATTATGGAAATGCCCCATTCAAGTTAACCATGGAAAAGGAAATCAATAATTTTTTTGGGCTAAAGGAGAATAAAATTTGGGTAAAAAGGTAAATAAATTGTAGAAATACCCAGGTATAACCTTTTATCATATTGCTACTTCTCACAAAGAAAATTATAATCATCCCTTCTCATATGTTGAGACAACCCAATCACAAAAATGCATCAACATAAATTAGTAGTGAAATTATCTTACCTTCAACATATACTTGAGGTATTTTTCCTTTTCAACTTTTGATGAACGTATAAGCATGCATGATATTATTCATAAATGCACATTTCATCATGATGAAACCAAGAGGGCCTGCCCCCTACACAATTGTGACTAGTGACGTGAGCTTAGAAAGTAAGGGTTATGCTTCGGAGTTTTAAACGGTTTTATTTTCCTACAAGGATTAGGGCAGCAAGGTTTTGGGCCTTACGAAGGTTTCCTAACTGAGTTAGAACTCGATGGATACAAGATCTAATAGAATTAGAACTAGGATTGTGGTTATAAGGAAGGCTTTGGTTAGGTTAGGATAAGGTTTAGGATGGAATTTAAAGGGTTTTATATTCCTAAAAAGATTAGGACAACAAGGTTTAGGATGGAATTTAAAGGGTTTTATGTTTCTACAAAGATTAGGGCAGCAAGGTTTTGGACCATACAAAGGTTTCATAACTGAGAGAGAATTCAATGGTACAAGGTCTAATAGAATTAGAACTAGGGTTATGGTTATGAGGAATGCTTTGGTTAGGTTAGGGCAATGTTTAGGATCGGTTTTCGGTTTCTAAAAAGGTTAATGCTTGCTGGAATTTAGCAAGTTCAAGCAAGATAGAAGCATGGCAAACCTAGACTTTAAACTTAAATTTGAACACTATGGAGAGTTGGTATATGGTTAGGGACTAGGAAAGCTTTTGAGCTGATTTATCTATGATATGGAGAGGTCAGGCTAGCATTTATGGAGGGGATTGAAAGGTTCATGAATTTGGTCGTGGGAAATCTTAGTTAAGGATGTGCCACACAAGAGGGAAAGAACACTGTAATTTGTTGGGTAGACTCACCAAAACTTGAGCTAGAGATGTAGAGTCTCTCTTTAAAACAGAGTTGAGAATCTCTCCTATCAATGTGGCTTCTCACAACAATGTGCCTATCTTTGTCTCCTTTTGAGACGCTTATCTCTTTCAAAAGTTTCGGAATAGTGTATTATTTCAAAAATACAAAAAAAGGGTTTCAGAATACTGTTTCTGTTCTTGACCTTGAACAAGTAGATATTGGTCTTGCAACAATGCTCAACCATGTTATAAAATAGCCACGAATGTCCTGATATGATATGACTAATGATCATGGGAAGGACATCACATCAAATCTAATCAACACGCACGCACGAGAGAGAGAGAGTGCTACTCGTCCAAAAGGCAACTAGATATTGGGAAGTGAATGGGATGGTGGTATTATTCATCCAAGCCTTGTAGTACATTTGGTCTTCATCTTGGGCTGATCAATGTGCTCCCTTGAAGTACATTTGTGCTGCTCTTACCATCTAAATTAGCTTGCAAATTTTTTTAACATGAGTTTTGAAAAAGCTTATGTGCCTCCAATCATCCTCTTGATTTTTAGATAAATGGGTCACAGAAATATGGGTCATAGATTGCAAAGGGATCTTCAATTTAAGCTTTTTTGAATATCCATGTAAAAAGTTATGCCTCAGGGAAAAACTCTGCATCACATCCTCCATAATAATAGTGTAGCAGAAAGTCCCAGGCATAGTTGTTAGAAATGCCTGATATTCGAAATAGATATAGGAATCGGAAGCGTAGAATTGTGGGCTGCTAGAATATTCCTATTGTCCGAATCGCCATTTGTAGAATGAGAATTGCAAGAATTGAGATTCCTACTTCATGAAAATTGTGCTCCAACCCAAATAGAACTAAGATTCCTACCTCTATGGAAACAAACACCAACCTATTTGGAATCAAGATTTTATACCTTTTTGGAATCGAGTAACAACCCAATTGAAATCGAAATTCCTACCTCTATGGAATCATGCATCCAACAACATAGAACTACACCGAAGGCAACTAGAAACAAGTTTCATAGGGCAAAAGATTTGCGGTTCTATAGTAAACTTAAGCAAGAATCTCTTAGTATTGGAACCGATGTGTTATGTACTCAGCCATGGTTTCCCTAGTATCGGAATCGAGATCCTCAATGGTCCTAAAGACATGAACAGGTTCCCTCGTATGAAATTGATGTATTGAGTGACGTTAATCACGATATTAGAGTCAAGGTCAACTAACCTGAGCACTAGATTGAGGTTTACTGAGGTTCTGGATTTTGAATACTTGATTTGTTAATAATGAAATTTAAAAAGAAAAGATATATTTATGAAAAAGGTTCTCAAAATTTAGGAATGATGTTAAGTATAGGTTTTTGAGAAACATGATGCTAAGGATAGTTAGCAGACACTCATAGCGATCTTAGACGCCGATCATATATTATATAATAATAAATTTCAAATAACAAAATTTTTCCCTAGTCAACTAGAAATTTTGTGACTGTGTTTACAAAATATACAAATATTCTCCTATGTATACTCAAAAATGAGATTTTGATTTTCATATATATATTTGAAAATGGGACTATGTTTTTGCCTTTGTGATACTCTCTATATTGTGATCAGAATTGAACCCAAATCTCTTTCTGAATTATCTTAGCAAGTAGCCACCAAGTTCTAGCACTAGTAGACAAGCAAGTTTTCTAACTTTATTTTGCAATATATAACATGGTTGACGTGATGTCTACTTTTTACATGTTTTCCTATGGATCTGAAAGTGATTACATTTAATGAGAGAAAATAAAATAATAGTTTTTTTTTATATTCACAATGTGTTGTAGCATTAGTGCGACAGTGTGATTTAAAGTTCAGAGTGTAGCAGTGTGCCTCAAAGTTTGGATATTACAAGCACACTCACGGAGAAAGGGCAATAGATATTTAAACATTACAATAGCATTCTCAAGGATCGAGGTTTTATAAAGGTGGAAGCGAGATTCCATGTACATCAAACCACAATTTCCTGCACTGGCAAACTGCGGTATTTGATGCTACGGAATCTGGATTCCAGAAAAATCGAATTGAGATTCAATGAACGTGGAATCAAGATTCATAACATCACAAAAGCGGGTTCCATAAAGATTCCTTGAAGGAATTACTGAACTAGGATTGTGAAGCTGAATCGCCCCTTGGGGTGATAGGTTCCAGTAATGATGGTCCACTACTTAAGTACGAGGTTCCTTAAGTTTTTTGGCCAGAAGTTATTTATTATTAACTCAAATCGATATGCCCAATTCCAAATTCTGAAAGTTTATGTATTTAAAGGGACTCAGTGGGGTCCAACACTTTGGATTTGGTGAAGCCACTAGAAGATGAAAGTTCATTGTTTACTTTTCTAGCAGCCTAGAAGCTAGAAGTTCTTCTTTTTTTTTTAGTTTCTTAGCAGCATTCAAATGCATTTTAAGGCTTTAGGGGCCTTAAGTTTGTGCATGCACGCACATGCCCAGTCCAGGCCTGAATGCACACACACTGACAAGCATACCTGCATGCATGCATGCATGACACACTCTCTGAAAGGTTTGCTGCTTGCCATTATTGTCAACAGATTTCTTTGGCTTTCGAGGGTGTAAATCATGTAATAAGCTTCCACTCTTAAGCGAGTAATACGATACCACTCTTAAATAAGAAGATAACAGGGGAGCACTGGAAGGGTGTTACCTTGCTGCTGGTCCTTCTAAAGAGACGAATTGGAATTGAGGATGGGTATGAAGGAAGAAGGGGAATCATGGCAACCACCTAAATTCTTATCGTAAATTTTAAAATGAGATCCTATCTCCCCCCACCACACATCCTTCCAAAAGGACAGGTTGCAGTGCAACAGCAGCAGTTCACCATCCCAAAAAATACAAAGATAAAGGAAATTGTTTGGGGTGCTAGATGCCCTCAAAACAGTTTCATAATAGTTTCAGAAGTGATGACTGCTATTCCTGTTAGAGGAATAAAGAAAGCCATGCTTGCGTATCAAGACATGAAAATATGAAATTTGAAAACACCAATCAAATTTCATTATGGCTCCAGAATAAAATTTCATCGATCTTTCCTAAGGACTCACCAAGTGGACTCAGGAATTCTGTTAGTTGGGATAGGTCAGGATAGGACCAAGTTTGAAGTGGAATAAAAGACACTTTATCCAAATGCATTATCATCAGGAAAGGAAAGCAGACAACCTCAGACTAATAATTCAGGAAGTTAGTTTTGACTCGGGGCAGATCATTGTTTTGTTTTTTCTTTTTCTTTTTGAGAGTAATGACTTGGGGCAGATTCCTGCCACAAATGCTATCATCCACTCTTTAAGTATAATTAAAAAGTGTCACTTCCCAAGCTACCTCAAGGGACTTGCTTAAATAAAAAATCCAATAAGGCTACAAAGAAAAAGAAGCAACACAATGCCCAAATTTCATACCCAAGCAGCTTTCGACTGTATACACCCAATAAAAGCTATGAACTCTTGGCATTCCCTCTTCCTACAACTCCTGCTTCATAGCTGTGTATGGTAAGCTAATGTTCCGCTCATAAGCCAATTTCTATGAACATTTTATCAGCTTTACAACAGAATGTGCAGATTACTAAAGGAGTGATATTAATCATGGGAGTTTCTTCAGATATAACATGGTGCTTCAGTATTGGTCGCATCTCTCTACCTGCACGTATGAAAAGACATAAAGTAGGAAGAATATTCCGAAGGCACGTCTGGGAACCAAAAAAATACTGCCCTTCAACCTATCAGTAAATAAAGATATTTGCAGTTGGTAATTGCTTTACTTTTCAATCTGGAAATGATTTGCGGAACAACTCCCCAAGCTATAGTCTACATTAGAAGCTCGAATTTGTCTAGAGCTTTTCCACATTCCATTCAAATGTATTTTAGGTTCCCCTAAAATGATGAAGTTCAAAACATAGAATCGGACAGGAATGTACGTAAACACTCAGATATAAAATATGTTGCTTCAAAGGTCCAATTTTGAAGTGTGAGGAGGAGAATGTTCACAGTCCTGGGAGAAGACAGTGATTATAAAACTACATAACAAATGCAAAAAATGTTTTATGTTTAGTTGAAACTATATCCCAGATCAAAAGAAGCAGCATTAGGAGACATAACCCACAACAGACACAGCCACCTATATACAGTAACATATATAATATATTGAGTTCAATACAAGAACACGAGGCACCCATTTTACTCTCTTTACAATTTATGAAGCATAATAGCACAACTGAGAGCTAATATCTGTCGGAGATATACAAAACCATTGTAATTATTATCATCAAATTTCAAGATAAACCAGAAAGCAACTCTGAACATCAGCTACCAGATTAGATGGAAAAAATCGAGTTGAAAAATCTTACATAAAAAAGGCTAATAAGGACGGAGCGCATGAAAGAGTAATATTTGTAAATATCTTTTCCTGCTCCAAAATCGTCATGTTGCCATTGATCAGGCAAGATCCACAATAGCATCGGTGTTATAAGCGAGCGAACAAGCCATATGCTGCAAAATAAATAAGAAACGTGCTATTTAATTGCTTGTCTTAAATATATCCCTTATATCAATTGCATCTCAAACCGAAAAGTATTTACTGCCTAGCAAATAGGAAACAAAGAACAACTAAGAAACATGTAGCCAAAACATATGCTCCAAACAACACTTAATCGTTCATACGACAGCGTCTCATTCTATATATGCTAAATACGACTCACAATCCATCTTGTTCAAGTGCTCTGAAAATTGGCCACAAAAAAAAAATCCAGTACACTGGTTCAACCTCCAGTCTGGTCGTGAGAACATTGCCCAGGAAACCTCTCTTCATCTACCTCCTTTGCCCCAGAAAATAAATGAATAATGCTTAGGTTCTGTTTCTTCCCATCACTTCAGAAAAGCTGCTCTATTGTTCTAGCTACAAAAAACCTACACAAAGCAAATGATAGGTATTAACTCCATTCCCTGAATGATTCCCATCATATACTGTTTCTTGCAACCTCAATGTTAATTTCAGTTTGAATCTAACCCTAGATGGTGAACATTTATCTCAACCACATCCCCCAAGGGGGTAATATCATCAATCTATTTACTTAACCTGGAGAGACTCAAACATCCGCCTTGACACAATAAATTCAGCCATGTCCCTCAATGATGCCAACGTTCCAATAAGAATGAGACAATTGTAGACAAGGCCACCAACTCTCCATCATAGGATTCCTTTCATTAACTCAACTCCTTCGTCTATTTTCCAACTAGGAAGACTTCATCTCCAATGACCCAGCTAAGTCTCCTACTTTCTATCCCCCAAAAAACCAACAGTAAGAAGACCTGATCCGTGTTTGTTATTACTAGTTCACTTACTATCCTCTAGTTACAGTATGCCCATTCCTTCATAAAAGGTAAATGCAGCCCGAAGGGATAAAAACTACCCACCATCATGGCTTAATAAACATGCCTAATAACATCAATGGTATGTTCTCCTTGGAAAGTAGTATATCCAGATGACATCAAATGATTATATTCCTTGATTCCCTCCCCTATACCTTTTTCTTAATTCTCACAAGGATCCTCAGCCTCCTTAATCTACCAATATTGCTCTCTCTATGGAGAAGCCAATATCATTTCAATCTAGAAGAGGAATCCTCTGTATGCTAGCAATGAAGCCTCCCCAACCAAGATGCATAATTACGAAAGGGTTGGGAAGTAAGCATGGCATGTGGAGCCTACAAGGATCTCTCAAGAACCCTGATCTTTCAGGACAAAAAAGATAACCCAAAATAGGATTTACTTGAGTTGGGGATAACTCATGCGCTTAGATTTTGGGTTACCACATGAAGGGAAAAAAGAAAAGGACGGATTTCCCTTACACCCATGTTCTTGGGAAAAAAACTCTCTCGAAAATACAAAGGTTTCTTTATCTCTTTGGATGGGTGTCTAGAGGGAGAAAAACAAAGAAAATAAGAACCAATCCGAAAAGAAGGAAAGAAACTAGGTTTCTCTCTGTGGTGATGTTGCTAGAAGAAATTTGTCTTCTTAGTCTGTAAGTGCATAATAATTCAAGAAAATAGAGAGATTGAGGAAGATGACACATATAGAATTAGAGCTAGGTGGGCGAATTGGAGATGTGCGACTGAACTTTTACGTGATCGCCGCATACTAATGAAATTGAAGGGGAAATTCTATAAGACAGTTGTGAGACCAACTTTGCTTTATGCGACGGAATGTTGGACTTTCAAGAAACAAAATTCACATAGGATGAGGGCAACAGAGATGAGAATGTTGAGAAGGATAAGTGGAGAGACAAGAACTGATGGAATTTGGAATGAATATATTCGAGGAAACTTAAATTTGGCTCCAATAGGCAACAAGATGAGGGAAAGTAGACTTAAGTGGGCTGGCCATGTGCGGCACAGACCCAATATAACACCGGTTAGGAGATGCAATTTGGTTAAAGTGGAATACTCTAAAAGGGAAAGGACCCCCCAAAGGACATGGATGGAAGTAGTGTGAAAAGATATAGGGACTTATGGTCTTATCAAGGGTATGACCATTGATAGAGCAAAATGACGGAGCAAGATTCGTGTGGCCGACCCCAAATAGTTGGGATAAGGTCTTGAAGATGATGAGTTTGTAAGTGCATGAATTTTAATGAGTTAATAAAAGATAACTTTCTTTCCACGGGTGTTTTATTGATTTAGCGTTTTAGCATGTAAATCTATTTCAGTTTCTTTCCATGGATGTTTTATTGATTTAGGGTTTTAGCATGTAAATCTATTTCAGTTATCTTAGTATCTTTATGTGGATGATTCAATTTTTGGGGTTTTGCCATGTAAATTATTCATTCTTGTTCAATAAGTTGAAGGTCTCCGCCTAGGCGGTGGGGGGGGGCGGGGGCTAGGCGGTGGGAGGGGGGGGGGGCGCCTAGGTGGGCGCTCAAACACACCTCCCCCCATTTAATTGTATATAGAGTTGTTTACTTTATTAATTAATAAGTAAGTTTTGTACATAATATATTCTTAAGATGCCGAAAGCTGGAAGCACAGATCAAACCTAAACATTTATAATTTTAAACTGTAAATGAAATGAATATAACTCAAAAGAAACATTTCGAAAAACATTTCGATCTCTCAATAAATCTTTAAATCTAGCTTCTTCAATTTTTTTCTCACTCTAAAGTTCACTTAAATTGTTTTTGGGGGCAAGAATGGCCCCCAAACCCTTATTCCCCCTTTTAAGGGGGTAAAATGACATTTTTTGCCCCCTGCCGAATTTTTTCGATTAAACTTGTGCAAGAGGCCGCCTATTCAGGTGCCTAGTTCTAGCCTCCAAATAGTGTCCTCTTTAAAAATGCCTAGGCGTTTTATCCAAAAGTCTGCCTAGGAGGTCAGGTGGATGACTTTTCCATCATTGGTTCTTTCCATTATTGAGTTGTGTATGCAGCCTTTCAAAAAGAATCCTTTGATAAATCTTGGTATTAGAGACATGTTAGAGTATGAATTTATACTAGGTATGCATTTATGAAAGGATTTCAGTTTGGAAACTTCTAGAAAAGTTAAACATGGTAAGTAATGCATCCAAGAAGCTATTGTCCAACTATTCACTCAAAAGACTTTTAGAGCTGGAAAGAATAATGTAAAGTTGTAAACCATAATAAATATTCCCATAAAGGTGCCAAAAACAAAGTGAAGCATTGGGCAAACTGCATGTAAACAAGGAATCCATCGAGTTTCTTAGCAAGTGGTGTAACTTGAGATGAATCAAGTCTTGAGAAGTAAAATGGTAGCAAAAAAGCCTGAACATTTAGCCTCTATATTACACACAAGAATTGCCAACATCCTTTAACCTCATAGTAGCAACAAAACAGGTAATCAAGCAAATGCATGGTGAATTGTTGCGATGATTGAATTTGCAATTTATGATCCACTTGGAGACTAGCCGTAAATGCTTTCCATCAGATAAGTACAAGTCTACCTAACTTATCCACTGCAAAGGTGATCTGTAATCTTCTACAAATCACATCATCATGATACAACTAGCTGTTAAAGCAAACATCCAATTGTTTCAGCCATCCAACTTATCAAGATCTAGTTCCCTTAGTAGGCATGAATGTCTATCCAAACTTCCTTCTTAAGTGAACCTAATTGAACCGCAGGGATGATAGAATCCACCCATGACCCTCCTCACCATTTTGGGGCACCTCAAGTTTATATATTGTCAAACCCAATATATAAACTTGACTTTGATACCAAAACTTGATCTATCAAAGAGATTTTCTTAATGCTTTTACATCCCATAAAATAATGGAAACAAAAATAGAGATAGACAAAAAAACTAAGATGACAAACACAAAGAGATTTGTGGTATGAGAAAGTACGCACAACCAAGAAAATGAATTTATCTAAATTCTTATAAAATGCAGGCACTTACTGATGAAAAATATGAATACATAATAGCACAAGCACTACAGAGAGAACCCTAAGTCCCCCCCTTCTGCGCTTATTCCTATCCTCCCTATATTCTCTATTATTTTCTTTTTCTTTTGATGGAGACCCACCAAGAAAATAAAAGAACCTTTTTCTTTCCTAGAGTTTTTTTTCCAAAGATCAAGAGCATGAGCAGAAACCCCTTTTTCCTTTCTAATTTTCGGTTTTGGTTAGCTTTGTTCTTCCCCAAAGCTAAAGTTGTGAGCTATCCTGATCCCAATAAACATAAAAAGATGAGATTCAGACATGAGACTTCCAGAATCAAGGAGAACCCACTTTAGAAGCTCAAGTTTATCATCAATACAAGTCTATCTAGGGTCTAGAACCATTTAAGGAGCAATACTTTTAAATGAAAGACACATGTATATGATGGAAAACTCCAATTCATAGGAAGTGTTTTTTCTTCTTCTTTTCTTTTTCTTTTTTTTTATTTTTTTTAATTTTTTGTGGGTAGTATTGCTAATGTCAATTGCTAATCTCCCTCACCAACTGATATGCCAACCACTATGCTGAAGCCTAAGGGAGGTTTGTCCACATAAAGTTCAATATCCGATTGTGCACTTTACAAATGTTAAATCAATAAAGAAGCCAACAATCAGTCCTACTGTAAGATTAGGTAACCAATTATGGAGCAATCAAATGCACAAGAACAAACGAGTGAAGCATTCACTACACTGAAGTTCTCAACTCATACTTTGGTTGACATTGAAAATAATTAAGTTTGCTTTCTAAAGGATGTACCTGGTTTGTTGGCTAACAACTCAAGGAGCTTTCAGGTTTTCTCTTCTATCCACTACTCTAGTTTGCTAATGTCAATTGCTAACCTCCTTCACCAACTGATATGCCAACCACTAAGCTGAAGCCTAAGGGACGATTCTCCATACAAAGTTCAATATCCGATTGTGTACTTTACAAATGTTAAATCAATAAAGAAGCCAACAATCAGTCCTACTGTAAGATTAGGTAACCAATTATGGAGCAATCAAATGCACAAGAACAAACGAATGAAGCATTCACTACACTGAAGTTCTCAACTCATACTTTGGTTGACATTGAAAATAATAAGTTTGCTTTCTAAAGGATGTACCTGGTTTGTTGGCTAACAACTCAAGGAACTTTCAGGTTTTCTCTTCTATCCACTGCTCTAGTTTTCTCCATAATTGAAGAAAAACAGAACTATTGAGTCAAACAGAATTTTCTTTTAAAGGAGTCCTCAAATGGCCACAGGCGAAATGCATATGTTTATGTTGCTCAATGTAACCCAATAATGTATCACTCATAATATTCTATGTCATTGTTGATACATACAACTCCAATTCAACCAAATATGCGGTTCATAGACCATGCATAAACCCCTCCTAATTTCTTCAAAAAGGAACTCGACTTTCCACATTAAAAAGGTGTCCTTATGAGAAAACATCTTCACATTAGAGCCATGACACATTAAGCTTAAAAAATTAGATATTTATGCAAAAGTACATGCAAAAAGCAGTGAATCAAAACTTGCCAAGTGTAAGCTGGACTCGGCCGAGTTACATGGACCCTGCAGAGCCAAAACCATGAGAACCGGATGAGCCATGCCTATCTTCAACTCTTCTGTTTTCAATATATTATAATTTACCCAGTCTCTGACAGAGTAGGTCGACTGAGTTTCCTAACTCTAGCTTAGGACCCTGAAATAGTCCCAACTAAAACCCTTGATTTTAGACACTGGTAGAAAGAGATGGATTAATAAGACTCGCACTTGAATTGTCCATAAAGATAAAACATGAAGCCATGTTAGCAAGACACCGTTAACCATAAGGGCACTTTTCCCATGAAGAATCAATATCTATGCACGGCAACTTAACCTTCTTAAAATAAACTAGTAGATCAAAATATACAGAAAGATTTTAAGACTTTGAGTCCTAGAGAAATAATATTGCAGTTCCTAGTACTAACTAATGAAACCTAAAATTTTGCCCAAACGATATATTTGCTGACGCCATTGTATTTTCTTTGTACGCCATTATATTTTCTTTGTACAATTTCCTCTAGTTGGTATCTGACCTAGAAGCAGTTCGATGGATTTGAGCTTTCCTGCTTCTCACCTAAATAATTATTTCTTTTGAGAGTAGATTCCTTATCAAGGTCTGTATTTGTTCAGAGGATGTGTTCAGATAATTGATAATTGATGTCGGTTCTCGAAGAGAGGAGCCTTAGGTTGGTGAAATTTCTATATATTTCTTTTGAGAGTAGATTCCTTATCAAGGTCTGTGAGAATGTGTTCAGAAAATGAGATAATTGATGTCGGTTCTCTACATAAATTATTTCTTTTGAGAGTAGATTCCTTATCAAGGTCTGTATTTGTTCAGAGAATGAGATAGTTGATAATTGATGTCGAAGAGAGGAGCCATTAGGTTGGTGAAATTTCTATATATTTCTTCTCGAGTATTTCTAATACATATTAATTACCATACTTCTCGTTGATGACCATACGGTTTGAGAAAGAGAGTACCTTCCTAAGAAAATCAATCCGTTCAAAGCGAAGCACTTGCCAGTCTTGGCCACTAATGTCCTTGACCTGCCAAAGCGGAGCAGCCAGAATTAGAAGAAAGGATCAGAAGCGGAGCAGCCAGAATTAGAAGATGTGTTTCTCTCTCTACCTGCGAAAGAAGAAGAGGAGCCTGTGAAAGCAACAGGCCTCTTTGAAACCAGCGAGCCACAGCATGGCGGCCTGCTTCGAGTGCACGCGCACCCACTCCATCACGCCCCCTTGCTGCGCCGGACCGCTTACTTTGTCCATCTACGAACCCGCCATTATAAACAAATATTTCCTCCGGACTTTCCGCCGGAATAAGAACACCATTAAGTTTACATCTATCTGCTAATCAACGTCATCATGAATAACAATATAATAATCATCGTCATCGAAACGTTATTCGAACTATTTGGGTCTGCTAGACGTATTTTGTCCTCCTCAGGTCCGCTACACGTATTTTGTTCTTTCCACTTCCAACTAATGGTTTAAAAAGCGGATCAGTCATCCGGATCGGGCACCTCAAAAATAGATTGGTTTAAAAAGCGGATCAGTCATCTGGATCGGGTACCTCAAAAATTGATTTGAATCGGCGAATCGATAATTCGAATCGGAAATCGAGTGAATCGGTCAGATTAAAGCTTCAAAAAATCTGAAAAAATTATTAAAATTTATTATAAATATTGTTTTTTAAGAATTCACTAAAAAAATGAAGGTACTCCATTAAGAATTTTCATTTATTTGCATGAATATACGAATATTGATATGTTTTTTCCCTGCATGAACTACTATTTACCATTTAATTTATGTCACACAAAAGGATAAACATAGAATTATCATGGAATAAGTATATCAACATACATGGACTACAATAAAGCATACAATTAGTAACATATGATCTAAAAATACAATGACAGACGACGTCGTCCTTCTTTTTGGTCACGCTGGTGCCATTGATTGAATTCGTTTGATAATTCATTAATTCGATCTAAAAACGAATCATCGATATTAGCAGGCGTCTAACTATATCCAAATCCCTGAGTGTTAGTGTTCTGTTGTGTTCCTAATCTAAAATCCCCGAAGCTTGTCCATCCTTCATGCTCACCTACACTGTCATGCTCATCCCTACCTTGTTGTTGTTGGGACTCGATATGTGAATAATATGGCTGGGATAGGGTGGCCTCGGAATCATCATCTCTCTCATTTTCCCTTAGACCCCCTTCCCACTCTCCCTCATTAGGTGCAATATCACTGACATCTTCGACGAATTGTGGATACATTGGCTGACTGCTTCCTCTTTCATGCTGCTCATCACCTTTTTCACGATCTTCCTCACCGATAGCCTCAAGGAACGCTTTCTTGTGTAACACTGGCTCCTCCTCTTTTATTACCCATTGGTCTGCTGTGTTTGTGACAAATATTGTGTCTAAGTCTATCGGCCCATAGTCTTCAAGCTTCCTTCTTATTTGTCGATCTCGGAGGTTTAAGTTATAATAAATGTAGACTAGTTTACGAAGCTTTTCCGAAACGAGTCGATTTCTCCTAGTAGTGTGCAACTATTAGAATGTACTCCAGTTGCGCTCACAACCAGTAGCAGAACATGTCTGGGAGAGCACCTTGATTGTTATCCTCTTTATGTGAGGTGCATCAGTACCATATATCTCCCACCATTCAGCTGTATTAAAATGCAAAAAGTATTGTAAGGGCAAGAACAATTCATAAGATTAAATATATGAATGAACAAAATATTAGCTAGGGGATAACCTGTATCCATCTTAGTTCGAGAATTCCTCGCAAGTCTAGTTCCGAAGGATCCTATAACATCCCTATACATAGCAAGCTAAAACAAATATATTTTGTTTTAATGCATTATTCCTCACAAATATAATAACTCAATAAAGTTCTTACCTAAACATTAAATAATACCTCTTGTATTGCTGCTACTTGGTTTCGTTGGCTTCTCTCCAATCTTGCAATAATATATCTAACCCCTTCCATAATCTTGTAGGGATGTTCAGGTGTCAAATAGAAAAATTTTAGGTTGAAGTAGTAACCTATAAAATATATAGATAGAAAAATGTCATTTACAATTTCATAAAAAAATGATTTAAAATGAAACATTCTAATCTTAACACCATGACTAAAGGGGCAGTTGCCTCTACGACACTGGAACATCGAGACCAGAACCTCATATTTGAAACTATGCCATCCACTTTTATACTGGTACTGGACTTCGAGAGGCGGTCATTTAACCACTCTTCATAGGTAAACAATCTCTTTAATACACCTTCAGATTCCCGAATGGAGTCCACAGCTAAGTAATCGATCGCAAAGAGGGTTATGGCGGGCCTGATTATCTCTTTTTTCTTAGAGTGTTATCTAAACATAAATAATATTTTAGAGTGGTTGTATATAAATCTCGACACCCACCTTGCTTCCTCTAGAGTCTCATTCACAATTTTGATCTCACCGATCTCCTCTAACATAAGATCTATGCTGTGTGCAGCACACGGGGTCCTTACTAGATGTTTCCTCTTATCCATCAACTTGCTGCCCGCAGAAACATATGCACGCGCATTGTCTGTAATAAACTAGACTACATGCTTATCTCCTACCTCCTCCACTATCTGATCATATAGTCGTACGTAGAAGTTTGCATCATTCTTTGTTCCTGATACATCTTTGCTAAACAAAAAAGCTGTACCTTTTGGGGAATAGGCCAAGAAGTTTAAAAACTCTTTTTTGCTAACTTTACTCAACCAACCATCACTCATGAGAGTAGTGCCTGTCTTTGGCCAACTCTGTTTATATTCTTCAATCCACTTTGTAACTTCCTCTACCTCTTCATCTAATATTGGCCCACTGAGCTCATATGCCGTCGGGGTTTTACCCCGGGTCCGACTCTCTAGATTGCACTAACCATAGGTGGAAAATATGGGCTATTGGCTGCATCAAAGGGGATACCTTTATTGTAGAACCATTTACCAACATAACTCCCCAACATGTTTCTTGTACCTTTAACCATGCCTTTTAGGGTTATCTGTTGTGACTTAAGCTTTGAGAGAAATGGGTCTATACGACCATGACCTGCAATACTAACACTCTTAGATAAGCTAGGAACTATTTCTTCAACATTTGATTCTTGTTAACACATATTACCACCAACCCATCCGTACATATTTGAGTTGTGCCCACCATACATGCTCGACCTGGGCCTGCCATGCATGTCTAAGCTGGGCCCGCCATACATGTCTGAGCTAGACCCACCATGCATGTCTGAGCTAGACCCACCGGGCATTCTAAACCCATGCTCCCTTTGATATTGTTCATGTAAACTCATTCTTATTGCCATGTCCAGGTGATTATTATATTGCTCTTCTAGGTCATTATTATATTGCTCTTCTGTATCATTCTTGCTTGATGGCGTATATAAACTAGCTATCTTCTTATTCATCCTATGTTTGGTAATTTTTTTACCTTTGTTAGCATTAAGAAATGCAGCCATCTGTTTTTTTACATTACTAGGGACACTACTGCATGCAAAAACATCTCTCTTAACCCCTGCCAAGTGTTGCATGAACCTATGTACCCCACTACTTATCACTCTTTGGCAGTAATTACAAATAATTTTGTCTTTTTTGTTGGGATCAAGTTTGACCCCATGTTGCCATGCAGGCTCTTCTGCAGATCTTGACATGATTCAAATGTTTTAATATGTAGAAAGTTAAAAATTAACCTGACAGTTCAACAAGAAAAATAATCACCACGTGTAATGATAATATGTTGGGGAAGTTCATGTAGTTATATTTGTTGTTATTTGTTATTTGAAAATACTTCTATTGACAATAATATTTCCGTACATATCAATTACAAACATACAGGATAATATAATACAAAATGCAAGCTCTGAACATGGCTATAACTCAATTATCAAGAACATACATTTTTTGCATTAAAAAATTAATAATAAAATTGAAAAAATGCCGGATAATATAATTGTCATATATGTCACGATTTTTTTACAATGATATTCACTTTAATTCCTCACGATAATACAATTTAACAACATGTATTTTTTGCGTTCAAAATTTTAAAAATTGAAAATACATTTTTAATGCAAAACTACATTAAAAATATAATACAGTTTTGCATTAGAAATATAATAACATGTATGTTTTTTGCATAAATATTCTATCAACATGCAATTTTTTCAACAAAAACTTTAACAATAAAAATTAAAAATATGGTTTAATACCTCATGACAATCAAAACCTGGTCACTATTTTCTCATCTTTTCGGAAAATCATGATTTTTTTTAAAAATTGATCATGTACTAAAAAAAAAAAACAAAAAAAAACAATTCTTCACATAGCCACCTAACATCAGTCATTCCAACTCAAAAATGCATTAACAACAAATTAAAAAAATACAGTTTTGCATTAAAAATATAATAACATGCATTTTTTTGCATAAATAATCTATCAACATACAATTTTTTCAATAAAAAATTTAACAATAAAAATTAAAAATATAGTTTAATACCTCATGATAATCAAAACCTGTTCACGATTTTCACATCTTTTAGGAAAATCATCATTTTTAAAAAAAATTGATCATGGATAAAAAAAAAAAAAAAGTACAGCAAACTCAAACAATAAAAATTAAAAATATGGTTTAATACCGTATGATAATCAAAACCTTGTCACGATTTTCACATCTTTTAGGAAAATCATCATTTTTCAAAAAATTCGATCATGGATAAAAAAAAAAAAAGTACAGCAAATTTTCAAAAAATTCGATCATGGATAACAAATAAAAAATTCGATCATGGATTACAAAAAAAAAATCACAAATTTTCAAAAAATTCGATCATGGATTACAAAAAATTTGATCATGGATTACAAAAAACTCGATCATGGATTACAAAAAATTCGATTATGGATTACAAAAAGTTCAATCATGGATTACAAAAAATTCGATCATGGATTACAAATAATTCAATCATGGATTAACAAAAAAAAAAAAAAAAAAAATTTACAAAAAATTCGATCATGGATTACAAAAAAAAACAAACAAATTTTTAAAAAATTCGATCATGGATTGCAAAAAAAAAAAAAAATTTCGATCATGGATTACAAAAAATTCGATTATGGATTACAAAAAAAATTCGATCATGGATTACAAAAAAAAATCAATCATGGATTACAAAAAAAAAAAAATCGATCATGGATTATAAAAAAAAAAAAAAAAAGAAAAATTCTGTTCTTCATAGAGCCACCTTACATCAACCAT